CCCTCCCCTGGCCAGCCTGTTCCAATGCCTGATCACTCTTTCAGTGAAGAAATTTTTTTCTAATATCCAGCCTAAACCTCCCCTGGCGCAACTTGAGGCCATTTCCTCTTGTCCTATCACTTGTTACTTTAGAGAGGAGGCCAGCACCCACCTCACTGCACCCTACTTTCAGGTAGTTGTAGAGAGTGATAAGGTCTCCTCTCAGCCTCCTCTTCTCTAGACTAAACAACCCCAGTTCCCTCAGATGCTCCTCATAGGACCTGTGCTCCAGACCGTTCACCAGCTTCGTGCCCTTCTCTGGACCTGCTCCAGCACCTCAATGTCCTTCTTGTGGTGAGGGCCCCAAAACTGAACACAATATTCAAGGTGCGGCCTCACCAGTGCCGAGTACAGGGGCACAATTTGATTAACCCCAAAGTGTTTTGCCTGCATATGATTAAATTCAAGCAGGGCACGGCTGTTTGGATGCCTAATTTATAGGTTTTTTACAAGATTCTGGCTTTTCCCCTGGTGCCTGTTTTGATGTTGCTGAAGGGCGAATCTCAATACTAATTAAGAAAGGGCCTGTTTTCAGTGCAGAAAGTGTCCAACCAGCAGACTTCCTACATGACTGACAAGGGCTCAAATTCCAGCGAGCAGCCTGAACCCAGCCTGTTCGGAGGGACTTTGATCAGTGCTTTGTACTGTATAAAGCTGAAGGGTGCATGCTTGCAAACTGTAGTAGACCCAGGATGCCAGCGGAAAGCGGAGGGAGTTTGCTGGCTAATACCCTTGTTTGGCCAGCTCTGAACCACTATCCTACAGCTAAACAACAAGACAATAGCAGGCGGCGAACAGAAAAGGTCACCAGATGTACAGTGTCTTCTTGCAATCAGCCCGATCCCTTCTGGCCTCTCACACCTCCTTTCATTCAGCCGTGTCAGGTGGGAGGAAATTTATTTATTTACTTTTGTTTTATAAACCTGAACACCGCAGGTCAAATGGCAAAGTGTCAGCAGAGTTTTTGGGTATGCCAATGTCATGTTCAAGATGGGCTGTAAACCTAAGACCAAAGGTATTTGGGGTTTGGCTGGCTGGGATCATTTACTAAGAAGGAAATGTTTAAAACCAAATCTGTCATTTTAGCACTGAAGTCACTCCCTGAGCATATATCTCTTTGTCTATTTCCAATGGGAATTTCAGATGTTAATAGAAGTCAAAATTAATCCGTATGTGATGGATCTGCAGACTAAGAGCATTACATCATCTATGTATCTAATATATATTTCATGGATATATTTTGCCTTAGGCATGTTTCTAGTAGTGCCCAGCTACTTAGCTCTAAGTCCAGTATATCTGTCTCAAAGTACAAATGCTGCATTCAGTTGTAAAGATATATTTTTACTTTAGAATAAGTGTTATTTAAAGCACATACAGTAGTCAGGTTATTTTGTATGGCATTCAAATGATGTATGCCATGAAAGAATCTAAAACAGAGATTTCTAAGGTGTGAGGGATTGGCTATAACTTAAAAAAAAAATCTACGCCTAAATATTTTTACAAGAATGAAAGAATGGATCCTTTTGGATAAAGTAAATAATCCTCAGAAACTGAAGATTACCAATTCAATCAAAATCAATTACCAAATTTATAAGTGTAAAAGAAGTGTCTAAATAGACTTTTTAATTTCTAATGATTATTTTTAAAGCCACAATTAGTTTCAATTTTTTGTTTTTCTGAATTATTTTGCATTTAACTATTTAAATGCAAAGTCTGATCTTAAATGGGAATATATGCATAAATATGTTATATACATATGCCCACACATATATAAATACTGATAATCTGGCCTTTTTCAAGCTAACTTTTATTATTTTGTTGCCCAGTATTTCTTTTGGGACAAATCGGCGTAAGATTTCAACAAGTAGGAGTCCCCTGGGCTGCTGAATAAATAAACATTTGTTACCATGCAGGAAGGCAGCACAGTTTCTTACTCTGAATGTGAAATTACCACTTTGTATTTCAGAGAAGAGTATTCTGTTGTAACAAGCATTTAAAGAAACGAGTGATGTAATTGAAGGGGGTTTTTTTCCATAGTTTTCAGTTGGTGGGCCTTTGAATTATGTTTCTTTATTATTCACAAATCAAGATCTGATAGTCTTTATCTAAAATGAGTTGGGAACATCTTGATCCAATTACATTTATGACACAAAAATTTTGGTGTGCTAATTCATGAAGGTAACATACTCTGTCACAAGCTGAACTTTAAGAATCTATAGTTGTGACATGGCTGTCTTTCTCTAAAGATTATCAGACAATAACTTAATAGTTTCAGTAACCTTTGATGACAGTTTTTATGATGCTTTTTTGTTCTTAATTTTTCTTATGAGTTCCTTTATTTTTCCTATTAATTCCTTGTGGTTTATTCATGTACAATATAAGCTGAAGTTGTAGCTATGGAATAGGAAAATACTTCGCACAAATATGCATAGTTGGGTACCAAAGAACTGTGGTTATCACAGTCTAATTGTGAGAAACGGACAGAAGCAATGCATAATTAAGCAGATGATTCCTCTTTTCAAGCCTGCAGTCCCTATTGTTATTCTCATGGTAAAGCAGAACCACAGGCCATCAGCCAAGCCATAGATTTTTTTATGAGGCAGGCAACAGTGAGCTCCATTAGTTTCCTGTTAAACACATGTCATAAAGAGACATTTGGCTATAATTCTGTGGTAGTGCATCTAGTTTGTTTCTGATTGTGTTCTGGGTCAGTGGTCATCATCTTTGGAATTAAACCACCATAAATTAGACTGGATATTTTTAACATGTAACTAATTATTAAAGTGAAAAGTAAGTTTAAAAACTAGTTACTTTTATCTGCTCAGAATAGAGTAGGGAAA